TCAGGCTTTTGACAAAACATATTAGTTCAATTTAGCAAAATTTTATATCAAAGACATGATTTTCTCACTTAAATGCCAGGGTAGACACGAAACACTTTTCTTTGGCATACAGCTTTTGTAATCAGAAGACATTATTGTTTAAATTCCACAAGTGGCATCTACTGTGTATATTACCTGGGAAAACTTTCTCACTTCTCTGAATCTCAGTTTCCCCAGTTTACAATGTGATTCAGTGAGCCATTATGAGAATACAATGTAATTATATGTTTAAAAAGTAGCCATTTTCATGCTTGGTATCTGGTAGTTTTAAAAAAGACATTTGTATCAATGATCTATTGCTACTAACAAACCAGCCCCACAATGAATGACTTAAAACAATACGTGTTTTATTCACTCTTAATTCTGGGGGCCAGAAGTGTGTCTGGAATCAGCTGGTTATGTTTTCTACTGGATGTGCCCGGGTCACCTATGTGGGTGAAGGCATCTGTAGCTCAGAAGGGTTTGGGCTGTTGGAGGTGCTCCCATCATGAATCGGTCTGCTGGTGCTGGTGATCGGTGAGCCATGGATTTTCTGCTGTTGAGTCTGGACTTGGGGGAAGAGTCTCAGGCACCAAGAGACGGCAAAATCCAATGTGTAAACACTGGCACCGTTTGCATCACATTTTCAAAAGTGTCATTGGACAAATAGAGCCCTGTGGCCAAGTGTGGAGTCATTGTGGGAGGGAACCAAACAAGTCCATGATGATGCATAGATGGGGCCCATTCTGTGAGCAGAGGCCATCGCCTGAATAATCCACAATCTTGTTCTTTCTCATTGTCCTGGATAAGACGCCACACTCATCAGCTGTTGCTGACCTATGAAGTCTCTGAGCCCCGGAAACAAACACCTGTCAACTGTACATTCTCTCATCTTTACAGTTCACAGGATTATTAGGAAGATTAAATATAGTAATATGTGTAATGTATTTTATCAGTGCCTGGCATGGAGTAATTAATTATTCAGTATACATTAGTGCCTGCCTTCTACCTTCTTTCTATTGGACTTTGAATTTCAGTTTTTGTGATATAACCGTTCCTTTTTTACAATTTCCATAATATCCAATTAAGAAACTGCTTTCTTATATCCATAAGACCTCTTTCCCCAAATAAATGCTGTAAATTCTAATTGTGAAAGGCCAGAAAAAAAGTTACAAGGTAGAATAGTGAAAAGAACATAGGATTTGTCAAACACAGCAGTATAAATATAAGCTCCAACATTTACTAAATGTACATATCTTTCTTTTTTTTTTTTTTTTTTTTGAGACGGAGTCTCGCTCTGTCGCCCAGGCTGGAGTGCAGTGGCGCAATCTCGGCTCACTGCAAGCTCCGCCTCCCGGGTTCACGCCATTCTCCTGCCTCAGCCTCCCGAGTAGCTGGGACTACAGGTGCCTGCCCCTGCACCTGGCTAATTTTTTCTATTTTTAGTAGAGACGGGGTTTCACCATGGTCTCGATCTCCTGACCTTGTGATCCGCCCACCTCGGCCTCCCAAAGTGCTGGGATTACAGGCGTGAGCCACCACGCCCGGCCTATATCTTTCAACAAGACACTTAAGGTTAACAGATCTCAGTTTTCTTCTTCTGAGAAATATTGTTCTTGGAATATTTCTTATTCTGAGAAAATTATTCATGGAGCAATAATGCTGCCTGACCCTGAGAGCTGTTGTAAGAATTAACCAAGAGGGTGTATAGGGAAAGCATTTTGTTAAAAAAAAAAAAAGATTATAGTAATATCCGTCTTTGCTAGAGAGCAGCTCATTTGTTCTTACTCTAAGAAACACTCCATGAACATCCCCACTGAACTAAAGCCCCTCTCAATGACGCCAGTGAAAGAATACAGACATTCTCAGCACACTTGCGACACTGCGTTGATAGGTGTGTATGTGATTCTCCTCTGCTGAAATGTAACTCGTCCAGGCCAGGAGCCATGCCTGCATGTCTGCTATATTTTATCAGAATACGTAGTATAGTGGTAAGCACATGTATTTGTTCAGAAATCATTGTTAAACTGAATCAGTGTCTCAGAAGAGCATTCAACTGGTCCTAGTTGGGCCAAATTTCACCACCTGAAAGTCAACTTATTGGCAAAACAGACATACACTGAGGTGGATAGGATCTTGGCCATGGATGCAGGATTTAGGATGGAGAATGTTAATAAAACAGTTTATGGTTTTGAAGAATTTATAATTTAACCTGTGATATGGACACATTCACTACTAAAGAAAAAGTTTGTGTTAATAGTGTCAAAAGTATTGTGTTACATAGGCTTATAATTTACTGGCCTGGTCAAATATTAGGCACTTTGTGTATCATATCCCACTTAATCCTCATAACTATTCTGTGATGTGAAGAATATTTCATTTTACAGATGCATGATCCACATATGCATTCAACCAACCATCCACCCAGCCATTCATTCCTTCCTCCATCCATTCATCTATTTATTTAAAAACTAATTTTGAACTGCTAAACTTTGTAATAAATTTTGTCCTGTGCTTTAAGAATTTAGCAGTGAAAAAGAAATATAAGCTTCCTTGCAAATTACAGTGTGGCAAGAAGGATTTAAACAAGAAAAATTCCTGCCTGTAATCTCAGCATTTTGGGAGGCTGAGGCAGGTAGATCACTTGAGGCCAGAGTTCCAGACCAGCCTGGCTAACATGGTGAAACGCCATCTCTGCCAAACAATACAACTTAGCCGACTGTCATGGCATATGCCTGGAATCCCAGCTACTCTGGAGGCTGAGGCTGGAGAGTTACTTGAACCCAGGAGCCAAGATCACGCCACTAAGCTACAGCTTGGGTGGCAGCAAGATCCTGTCTCAAAAAAAAAAGAGAAGAAGGAAGGAAGGAAGGAAGGAAGGAAGGAAGGAAGGAAGGAAGGAGGGAGGGAGGGAGGGAGGGAGGGAGGGAAGGAAGGAAGGGAAAGAAAGATTTATGAAGATAATTATAGGGGACTTTACTGGAAGTCACCAAGATAATAAACAGTGCTTGGATACACGGATATACATAGCATTATCATCCCCACCCTCCACTTTTCTATGAAAAGGAGAGACAGAATATTTAAGCAAATTTGCTCACTGCCACAAAGCTAGTGAGGGTCAGAGCCAGGCGGGATTCAAATCCATGTAGTTTGTCTTCTAAGCCACAAATTACTGGAGGTCTTTTAATGAAAATCTTTTATTATAATTAGTTCTACAAATGCAGAAAATGAATGTCTCTTGAAGGAAAACGAAGAAAAAGCAGAAAGAGAAGGAGAAGGAGGAGGAGGAGAGAGTGACTTAAGCAACTGGTTTACCCAGTAATGACTGGAGTCAAGACTTCTAATGTGTTGTTCCTCCATATAACTGCTTTGATCTAACCTCCTGTTAAATCCTTTACTCCTTGAGAAATGAAACTGATTCCTGGTCTGAGTGGGAGTCCTCTGACAGCATCCACCCCAGTGCCTGGTACAAATATAACAATAGCAAATGTTTATATAGCCAGACTGTGACTGGTTTGTGGTGGTAACGGAAGATATTTATTTTCTGTGATTCTTCTGATTTTCTGAACATCTGACAAAATTAGAAAGTAACAATAATAAATTTAAGCTAGAGTGTGCTCAAATGCGATAGGTTACCACCAATATCCAGGATTTTCACACCAAGTTCTGCAGAAACGCTAGTTCCACAAGAAATATCTTTTTTTCTTTTTCTTTCTTTCTTTTTTTTTTTTTTTTTTTTTTTTTTTTTTTTTTTTGAGATAGGGTATCGCTCTGTTCCAGGCTGGAGTGCAGTGGTGTGATCTCAGCTCACTGCAACCCCCACCTCCCGGGTTCAAGCGAGTCTCCTGCCTCAGCCTCCCGAGCAGCTGGGATTACAGGTGCCCGCTGGGATTACACCACGCGTGGCTAATTTTTGTATTTTTAGTAGATGGGGTTTCACCATGTTGACCAGGCTGGTCTCGAACTCCTGACCTCCTGATCAGCCCACCTCGGTCTCCCAAAGTGCTGGGATTACAGGCGTGAAGAAATTTCTCAACACCCTCAAAGGCTTAGGTCTGGGAACGGAGCATGAATCTCAAGCAGGGTGTGCATTTGGGAGCTGCTGGGAGGGACGGTGGCTCGCTACTTCAACCAGAGCAGCTCCGACAGGGCTATTGTTTTACTTGTCTTTCAAATATACAAAATGCAGTCTGAAGAAGAAGGAATCTAGTGCAAAAAACTGTGTGTAACACGACTCAGCTAGCTCAGTAAGTTAATTAATTCCATATCTGGGGTCTTTTTGGTTGAATAATGATTGCCTCTAACTCTCTTAGAGCTTGCTTAGTGGCGGGAGAACCTGAATTTCTGCCTTTGCTTCATGGTTTTTTTCTGGCCACTAAGTTTCAATTCATCAAGGACATAAAAATACAGGCATGCCAGTACACACAAACCACAGAAGAAGACACTGCTGAGTAAGACTGTGCTTACTTCTGAATTTCAAAAAGCTGTGAAAGGTCAATACTATACTGTAAGCCAAAAGATGTAATTGTTGTGGTTCTTTCTTTTCTGCTTCATCCAACCGTACTTTAAAATCAAATAAAAATTCCCTCAATTAAAAAGTTTATGATGAATTACTCAATTCCACAAGCTCTCTGGGACGTCTTTAACCCTTCTGGTAAGTTAATGGCACGTGGTTCAGGTGTGACTTTTATCAGAGCAAGTTAAATCATTATTTTCTGTAAGTTAATTACTCAGAAATAAGTACTCTACTAGGCAATTAGGGGAAAAAAGAAATACTGTTTTTAGTTGTGTTTATAATTTATAAAAGAGAGAAAACATAGCTAATCAGTCACTAATTTTATTTCTAAGTAATAAAGGCACTTTTAAGAATACTAATTAAAAGTAAAACAGTTCACATGTTAGATTTGTAATTGCTAATGGAAGAAATGATTCATTAATTATACACTTTATCCTCTTCCTTTTTTTTTTCCTTTTTATTGCAGGTGGGAAGGAAATTGAAAGGAAGAAAGCAGCTGGAATTGTAAAGGCAGACACATGAAGTTAAAAGAAAGTCATTTTTTAAAAGAGAAAAATACATAAATTGCTAATGTCACATTATAATTTTCACATCAAAATCTTATGAATAATAATTAATTAATAGAAATGTTCCATTTCAAGAAAAGTTGGAGAGTAGCAGTAAATGCTAAAACTGATTTTAATTCCTTCATTCTATATAAAGGAAACTGACCTAAAATCTTTTATATGTTGGTTATTCTCATCATCTTAAAAATATGTAACATGCAATATTATTTTAAAAACTTCATTATTTGGATGAAAATACATTGTGAAAATTAAGAATTTGAAGATAAGCAGTTATGCATTCGACTTACACTATTTAGGTTGGTGCAAAAGTAATTGTGATTTTTATCTTTTTTTTTTTAAGTAATGGCAAAAACCGCAATTGCTTTTGCAACCACCTAATAGAAACAGTTTAAAATCTCTTCCTCGCCATTTCAGTTATCCTTAGATTTGTTCTATTAAGCAGTAATTTTAACTCTTGCCTCTGTTCATATAGAATTTGAAAGAGACACACAAGGAGTCATTGTTCATGGTGAGTCTGGTCCTGAGCACTTATACTACAATTTGCTTCTTTGTGAAAAGGTGTATTTGTAGAGGAAATATGTATTTGTTTTAGTTTTAAAAATGTGACAATAGAATCACGTAAATTTAACATCTAGACACTGTATTCACCATGTGGCTTATAGAGCAAAGCCTCTGTATTTCATTCTGGGGAGACCTAGGATCAGCCCCAGTGAAGTATTCAATACCTGTCTTGCCTATTTTTTGCCATCTTTACTGACTCATAATTTACATAACACTATGTACGATGTATTAAAGTTTATAGTTTAGGTGGTTTTTAATACAATAACAACATTGTGCAATCATCACCACCATCTAATGCCAGAACTTCTCCATTACCACGGAAAGTTGCTCCATAGCTCTTAGTTGTCAGTCTTATCAAGCTCTCTCTCCATCTCCCTTGGCAACTGCTGGCTTACTTTGGGTCTCTATAGATTGGCCTATCCTGGATGCTTCATACAAGAGGGTTTGTGTAATCCGTGGTCTTACCTGCCTGGCTTCTTGCATTCACGTCATGTTTTCAAAGTCATCCATGTTGTAGCATGTGCCAGTACTCTGTTCTCTCTTTTTTTGTTGTTGTTTTTTTTTTTTTGAGATGGAGTCTTGCTCCCATCAAGCAGGCTGGAGTGCAGTGGCATGATCCCAGCTCACTGCAACCTCCACCTTCTGGGTTCAAGCAATCCTCCTTTGTCAGCCTCTCAAGTAGCTGGGATTACAGGTGTGCACCACCACCACGGCTAATTTTTGTATTTTTAGTAAAGATGGGGTTTTGCCATGTTGGTCAGACTGGTTTCCAACTCCTGACCGCAGGTGATTCACCTGCCTCGGCCTCCCAAAGCTAGCTAATATTCCATTGTATGAAAGTATCACATTTTCTTTTTCCATTCATCACTTGATAGACTTTTTTTGGCTACTATGGATGATGATGCTGTGAACATCCAAGTACAAGGTTCTGTGTGAACATACGTTTTCAGTTCTACTGGATATGTGCCCAAGAGTGCTGTGTGACCTTAGGTTTCATTTTCTGAAGAGCTGCTGACCTGTCTTCGAGAGCGGCTGGGCCTTTCCCACTCATAATGTGCAAGTGTAAACAGTTTTTCAGAACCTTTCCAACACTTGCTATTACCTTTTCCTGTAGCCAGCTTAGTGCATGTAAAGTAGTATCTTATTGTGATTTTCATTTCTAGTTTTCTAATGACTAATGATGTTGAACATGATTTCATGTGCTCATTGAATATTTACACAATTTCTTTGGTGAAATGTCTATTCAAGTACTTTGTCTACTTTTTAATTGGGTTATTTGTCTTTTTATTATTGAGTCATAGCTGCTCTTATATATTCTGAATTTTAGAAGCTTATGAGATAGATGGATTGAAAATATTTTTGTGGGTTGTATTTTCATTTTCAAATAGTGTTCTTTAACGTACAAAACTAATTTTGAAGTCCACTTCATCTATTTTTGTCTTTGGTTGCTTGTGCTTTTTGTGTCATATCTAAGAAACCATTGCCTAATGCATGATAACAATGATTTAAATTGAGGTTTTCTTAAAAGAGCTCTTATACTAGGCCTTTGATCCATCTTGAGCTTTTTTTAAATATGATGTGAGGTAAGGGTCCAAATTTATTCTTCTGCAAATAGAAATATTCTCCAAGGAATATTTGTTGAAAAGATTGTTAATTCTCCTATTGACACTCTTGGCAAAATCACTGACCATAAATGTGAGGGTCTATTTCTGGATATTCCATTCTATTTGAATTATCTATATGACTATCCTTATGCCAGCACCACAATGTCTTGATTATTGTATGTCAGTACTAACTTTTGACATTGGTAGGTGTGATACCTACAATTTAGTTCTTTTTCAATGTTATCTTGGTTGTCCGAGATCCCTTGAAATTCCATGTGAATTTGAAGATTGGCTTTCTAATTTCTGAAAAGAAAAGAGGCTGTTGAAATTTTGATAGAAATTACTTTAGATTTGTTGATCAATTTTAAGACTATTGCCATCTTAACATCAAATCTTTCAATTAATGAACATGGGATACCTTTCCATTTATTTAATTATTTTAAATATTATTTTGTAGTTTTCAGCTTGCAAATCTTGAACTTCTTGCTTAAATTTATTCCTAAATATTTTATCCATTTTGTTGCTAGTGAAAATAAAAGTATTTTCTTGATATTATTTTTGGACATTTTATTGCTTGTGTATAAGAATACAACTAATTTTAGCATATTGTGCCACCAACTTTGCTGAACTTGTTTCTAAGCTCTAATAATACTTTTGTTGATTTTAAAGGACTTTTTACATAAGAGATATATCATCTGCAAATAGAGATGATTCATCTCTCCCTTTACAATCCATACACCTTTTATTTATTTTCTTGCCTATTTATCCTGACTAGAACCTCCAGTACCTTGTCAAATACAAGTGATGAAAATCAACATTCTTGACTCATTGCTGATCTCAGTCTTTCACCATTGAATATGCTATTAGCTATGGGTTTTTCATAGATTATCAAGTTGGGAAAATTGCCTGCTATTCCTAGTTTTGGGGGAGTGTTCTCATGAAAGCATAGTTAATTTTGATAAATGGTTTTTTTTTTTTCTCTACATCTGTTGATACGATCTCTTTTTTTATTCCTTATTTATATGAATATGGTGTATTACATGGGTTGAATTTGGTATGTTAAACATACTTTGGATTCCTGAAGTAAAACCTCCTTGGTTATCATGTATAGTCCTTTTATATATGCTGTTGTATTCTGTTTGCTAGTCTTTTGTTGAGGATTTTGCACCCACATTTATGAGAGACATTGGTCTGTAGCTTTCTTGTGATGTGTTTGTCTGGTTTTGGTATCAAGGCAATACTGACCTCACAGTATGACTTAAAAATTGTGTCCTACTCTTATACTTTTTATAGAGTTTGAGAATAATTGGTCTTAATTTTTCTTTAAATGTTTGGTAAAAATCACCAGTGAAACCATCTGGTCCTGCATTCTTTGTTGAAAGGTTTTTCTTTATTAAGAAAATTATTTCTTTATTTTCTTTATTAATTCTCTTGTTATAGAAATATTCAGGGTTGGGCGCGGTGGCTCATGCCTGTAATCCCAGCACTTTGGAAGGCTGAGCTGGGTGGATCACCTGAGGTCAGGAGTTCAAGACCTGGCCAACATGGTGAAACCCCATGTATACTAAAAATACAAATGAATCAATATGAACTGATTATAATCAACCTGACTATATATCTTGTCAAAAGCAGAATAATATAGAATTTTAATGTAAACTGAATAGTCTTTTGTTCCTGCTTTTGCTTACTTATTATTTGTTTTACTGCTGCGTATTTCTAAAAATCAGAACATTATCTATCTATGAAATGTACTCGCTAAATATTTGTTAGATGAATACATGAATAAATGAATAAATTAAATGAGATACTAAAATAAAAACACATTTATGAATCTATTAGAAAGAAAATGATGAAAAGATGAAATTGAGTAGCATAAGATAAATAAATAACTGTGCCAATTACATTGGATCTGAAAAAACATAAACAGCTTGAGAGGCACAGTGATTTTTATACGGTAGGAAGCAAATCCAGACCTCTGTCAAAATAGCTGAAATATTTTATTGTGTGTAATCATCCGCAAAGCATATCTACTTTCATAATAAGTAACATTCAGTTCCTTTAAAGACATAACTCCAGAAGTTAGTGTACTTTTACTAGTTTGTATATCAAAAGTACGGTTAAAAAAAAAAAAGGAATGCATTTATGCAGTTCTGAAGTTGAAGTCTTGTTAGCAATTCTATTATGCATTTATTTTGAAAGCAAAATTTACTAGATAAATAAATAGCTCATTGCATGAAATGATAATCTTCTTGCTACACAACTGAAGTTTGCTGTACTACTGAAAATAAAAGAATATATCCTTAAGATATGGAATTAATTTTTTAATTATAAGCTTCATTGGTAACTTATTCAGATTAGATTTCTATTTAAAAATGATGTTTTTCTCACTAAAAGTGAACTTTATGATTGCCATCTTAGTGATATACAGATATCTATTTCAAAATATTGTTGAACAAAACATTCTTTTATATCCTCAATTCTGTTTCTCAGATTTATTGATATGAAATTTTAAAATAAAAAGTATATATATTTAAGGCATACAGTGTAAAGTTTTGATATATGTATACCTTCAGAAATGACTACCACATTTAAGCTATCTAACATGTCTATTACCTCACCTAGCTACCATTGTGTGTGTGGTGAGTAGGTGGTGAGAAAATTTAAGGTCTACTCTTAGCAGTTTTTAAGTATACAAGACAGTATTCTTAACTTTTGCCACCATGCTGTACTGGATCTCCAGAACTTACTCTTTCTGCATACCTGAAACTTTGTACCCTTTGTTCACCATCTTCCCATTTATCCCACCATCCAGTCCTTTGTGACCACCATTCAACATTGATTCGGCAATTTCAACATTTTTAGATTCCACATATTAGGGATATCATGAGGTATTTGTCTTCATATTCCTGGCTTATTTCACTTGGCATAATGTCCTCCAGTTTCAGTCACCTTTTCACAAATGATAAGATTTTATTCTATTTTTAAGGCTGAATAGTATTCCTTTGTGTATACATCACATTGTCTTTATCCACTCTTCTGTTGATGAACACTTGGGTTGATTCCACATCTGGGCTATTTTGAAAAGTGCTACAGTGAACACAGG